TCTCTTTCTTTTTCCCACCCACCTCTCATCTCAGCTTGGCCCTGTCTTCCCGAAGATGCTTTCTCTCTTTCTTTCTTTTTCCCACCCACCTTTCATCTCAGCTTGGCCCTGTCTTCCCGAAGTGGTTTTACAACAGGATGTAAAACAAACATAGGCCCAATTACTGCATGTAACCAATGAACATTTAGAATGTGAAACAGATATTTCATATGCATTTTATTTCATTTAATTCTAGCTCTTAATGTCTGACGAAGTGGATATGTCCACAAAAGCTTACATTAAAATAGATTGGTTAGTTTTTAAGGTGCCACATGTTTTTGTCTTTTTAGTTTTGTTTTGTTTCTTTGGACTTTGCCTGATATACTCACTGGGGAGAAAGTGGCCCTGGTAAAATCACTCCTTAAATACCTCACTTACCTTAAAAACTTGATTAGGATCACTTTAAGTCAGATCCAACCTGGCAGCATGTACCACACACTCAAACTGAGGATGGGAAAGCTTTCGCTCTGGAGATGTTTTGGACTGCAATTCCTAAAATTCTTTAGCCCTTGGTCATGCTGAGAGTTGAACTTCTGGGAGCTGAAGTCTAACAACATCTTGATGACGGGAACTTTCTGTCTGTGTTGCAGCTGATAAGGCAGCATATTTTTCAAGCAGGTTCAGCCCTTTATAAGGGTGGAGACAGAAAGGGTATCCTACTGCTTAGCAAGAGAACCAGTGTAATTCAGAAACGCTGTTTGTGGCTAGCCAACCAAGCTCAGTAAGACAATCCTCTGGAAGGTTTTAAATGCCTGTAAAACCTTAGAGCTGATAATCCAGACACACTAAGTATAGAAGCTGACTGAACCACACACTAAGTATAGAAGTTGATTTAAACTGTATTCTTGACTCTGTTGAAGTGCTTTCAAAGTCATTGGGGGGAAAATTGAGTTAAAACAAAATCAAATTGTGGATCACTCAGAGTACCTTCATACAGTCTTCAAGTCAAGAAGCAACATGTACCATTAATAATTATTTCAATAAGTGTAGGAAGATGGATTGTCAGGTAGATAATGGATAATTGCCACATAGATATTTTGACATTTCACAAGCAAACAGCTGATCTGCAGGTTGAAAAGAAAAGGTTTCAATAATGATTTAGTCTTACTGACAGCAGACCCTCTGGAATTAATACGGCTTATATTAGTTGTGACAACCCCAGACCTACTGGGATATGCCACAGTTTCACTAAGCTGCCACCAACCATTCCCTGTAAGGAGTCACACAGACCAGGAATGGATTTTTAACAAATAAAGGAATAAGGTTTATTTAAGTAACACACGGGGAAAATAAAATGATTAAGTGAATAGGATACAGTAACGAAAGACTTGAGAGTTCCTTTGTTTCAAAAAGTAACTATGACTGGCTAATTGTAAGTAATTATTTCTATGAAATTACTATTTCCAAACTCTGCTAGTAGATGTACCTTTTGTACTTCTGTCTGCATTTGGATGACGGGCTGTTACATAGGCTTCTGACAGGTCAAATCTCCTGGCATTTTCCCTGAGCTGTCAGGAGATTCTCATTCAGACTTTGTTACATCTGCCATTTGTATAAACAATCGCTCACATTTTTGCTTTCTGATTAATGATGTAACAATGTCTGGTGTGCTAATACATAATTCTCACCTACAGACACATGTACAGCTTCTTTTTTGATCATATGTCTGGGTGACAGCTATAAATCAATAAGGCAGCTTTTATTCTTAATGAAGGGCTGCATGCCTTTAGTAACCGAATAACAGATAGTGACTAGGAAGTGATTAGACAGGTATTTGTCCCATTGTTTGTGCCATGTTCCTCACTACTTTCAATATTTATTCCATTGACTATATGACATTAGCACTACAGTGGACCCTCAACTTATGGAATTAATCCATATTGGAACTGTGCTCGCAGGTCAGAAATTCCGTAGGTCGAGGGTCCATTTCCCATAGGAATACATTGAAAACCATTTAATCCGTTCCAGCCAAAGAAAAAAATTCCCGGGCTTCCAAAGCTGCACCCGCTGTCCTCTGTCCCCACTATCCTCTGCCTCCCATCCCCGCGGGAACGGGAGGCAGAGGGCACCAGGGACAGGAGACAAGAGGGCAGTGGGTGCAGCTTTCTAAGCCCCGAAAGCTGCTCCGCCCGAAATCTGCTCTGCGCCCGCTGTCAGCTCTCAAGGCTTAGAAAGCTGGACCCACTGGCCTCTTGTCTCCTGTCCCTGGTGCCCTCTGCCTCCTGTCCACAGGAGGCAGAGGGCACTGGGGACAGGAGACAAGAGGGCAGCAGAGACTGCTTTGAATTTCCCGCCCTTACCCCCGCCTTTCGTAGGTAGAAGCCCCAGCCACAAGTCGAACTAAAATTTTGCAGCCGGATCTTTTCGTACCTCAAAATTTCTGTAAATAAGTTTGTAACTTGAGGGTCCACTGTAAACTCAAGTAGATCAGCTTTTTGGCTTGTGTATGTGACATATATTGTTTAAGCAGCAGGAAGTATGTGTGTACCTTTTCTAGTAACCTTTTTTTATTTTTCACATTTTATTTTATATTTCACATTTCACATTATTTTATCATTTTATTTTGCTTTTGGCTTGTGTGATCACCTATTCCTCTTATTTTGCTTCTGGCTTGTGTGATCACCCCAGTCCTTTGGGGTAGATGCTGGTCATGTCCAGATGATATTGATGATGCACAGAGTGGGGTATGATGTGAGAGTGAATCCTCTTCCTTTTGCCTGATTTCTACTTGCACTGGTAAGAAATACTACAATGCAATTAGTAAGTTGTATTTTTAAATTTAAAATGTCTGAGTTTAGCACTGTAGCTAAAGTCCTGCAGTGCTAAACTGACACAGCACTAATTCAAACGCTTACCATGTTAGTGCAGTATGATCAGCTCAACATTAAATAAAGAAAAAGAGACTTGAATGTTGGCAAAATGGATACCTAAGAGGATGATGATAGTGACAGAGAAGGGTAAGAGTGAAGTCAGGTTTTGTTTGGACAGTTGAAACACATCTTCCTGGGACAATTAAACATTTCTGTGTGAAAGGGGACAGTGCCAGGATATGGTACTGTATCAAGAAATTCATATTAACGTGGGACAAACTTCTGTGTGGTCATGCTCAAGGTGAATCTCTCTGAATGAAGAAATCTAGGCTTATTTATTGTAGACACACTAGCTTTCTATATGCTGGATGCATTTTGTTTGCTTGAATTTTCCCATCACATCAGACACCTATTGTACTCCAAGCTCTGAAATGACATGTTCCAGGAATGATTGTTCCATATGAAATGTTTATGATTATTTGTCCCCTGCTATACAGTACAGTGTATTGTGCCATTCCATACTGGGAATTCCCCCTAAACATTCTCCACAGCTGTTAAAAGTTAAATTGTAAAGATTAATTTAAGATATGTTAAAAATGAGACTATCTTTGTCTGTTTTGGTGTTATTATGCCACATGTTTTGGGGAAACTAACTATCTGAACTGTGGATAGTACTTTAGAGCAAACTATGCACATAAATGCAAGAAACTTTGCATTTACCGTCAGTCAAGGTATCATTCATGAAACAAATATCACTGTCTGCTAGACTGTATTGTAGATTATTCAATGCATCTCTGGCTCCAAATCAAGATTCCTAAAAATTTTTTTAAAGATTATCTATACAGAAAGGAATTATCCAGCAAATATGCATTTATACTGTGTTCCCCTATGCATCAGGAATATTTCCTGAAAGAAACTAATCCAAGTCTAACAATGTATGTCATTGTAGTGAATAGAAGGATGATTGGTTTTCTGTGAGATCTTATTTTTTGATACATGAAAAAATATTCCCTTGCTCTTGTTAAAAGCCTAAATATAGGTTGGAAAAGTTACTTTTTGAACTGCAGTACCCCAAATCTCATTTTGTGTAATAGAGGTTTAGGAGATCTAGACTCTAGTACCCCTGAATCATAATACTCCCTGGGTGACTCCAGGCCAGTCACTCTCTTTCAGTCTTCCAAGTCTCTCAAGACTGTGGTGAGACTAAAGTGGTAAGGAACAGGCCTGTGCCCATACATAATTCAATTCATTACAAGAAATCTGAGATTACAGATGTAGCTAATAGAAGAAGNGAAGGAACAGGTCTGTGCCCATACATAATTCAGTTCACTACAAGAAACCTGAGATTACAGATGTAGCTAATAGATAGAAGGAGGAGGAGGAGGAGGGGGGGGGGAAAACAGAAAACAGATTCCCTTTTTCTACATCAATCTACTCCTGTTCCACCAATGATGCCATTGTTTGGGTGGAAGAACAAAAGAAGAAGAAGAAGAAGAAGAAGAAGAAGAAGGGGGGGGAACAGAAAACAGATTCCCCTTTTTCTACATCAGTCTACTCCTGTTCCACCAATGATGCCATTGTTTGGGTGGAAGAACAAACTTCTCTTTAATGGAAGCATTTGCTCCACATAGATACGGCTTTATGAAGTCAAACTGACTGTTGCCACTGAATGGGGAAAGCAACATTTTGTACAACATAGCTGTGCATTCCTGGATAAACATCCCATTGTAAGTGGAAGTGAATATGTTTCAACATTGCAGAAGATTATGGCAGATATGAGGATCAGAGTTAGCATTAAAAGATTAGTAGCTTGCTTCCTAGTTCTTAGATTTAAACTGTCTGTGCAGGTGATCTAGAATATGTTCTTGAGGAATAAAACAGAATCTGTTAATAAAAGATGCATATTTTAATAATTGGTTTCAAAAACTATGTTAATCATTTTGTAAATAATATTTTGTCTGTGTTACCATTCATTGCACTGTAAGCCCTGACAGGCAGAAATGTTATAAATACATGCTTAAAGGGACATCAGTGGGCTTTACTTTCCCAGGATGAACTGAAAGATCAAATTAGTGTAGTAAAAGAAACTGGCTAACAGAGCACAGCCATAGTTGCCAATGGGTTAAAAGAAGTATTCTTTATTTCTTCCAGATCACCCCAGGAAGCAAAGCTTCTCAAGCGAATTTATGTCCCGGTGACATCATTATAGCTATTGATGGCTATGGCACAGAGAATATGACTCATAATGATGCACAGGAGAGAATTAAAGCAGCCATGCACCAGCTGTGTCTGAAAATTGAAAGGTATGACTCCACAATATCATTAAAGTGTAGTCATGAATTCACTGTTTCATGTATCAGATTAAAGCCTATTTTCCAAAGGTTCCATACTAGTCATGATGGCAGTACAACAGAAAGTGGGGAATTTGTGACTTGTTCAGCTGTTGCTATGCTGCAGGTCCCATCTGCTTGGATCAGCTTAGTCACTGGTGAATGATTGTGGCATTTGCAGTCCAACAAGATATGGAGGGTCATCTCTGCCCCACCTCTGCAATATAAATCTCTTGGCCTTTTCTCCGACCGCTAGATGCACATTATAGAATACATCTAATGTAGTGCCATGATCTCAAACTTTGTATTTATGACTGCCTCTGACCACTAGATGCACATTATAGAATACATCTAATATAGTGCCATGTGTTACATACAGCACTGATGTTATCATTGAACAATAGCATAATTCTTTATATGTTCAAATAGAATACTATTCAATTCTTCTCAAAGGGAGGACAGGAAATTATATGACTGTCTCCCAGGGCAGTCATGTTTCTGATGGTTTGTAGAGAATTGTCAGAGAATGTTGTAATGGTTGCCAGGTTAGACATCTTTAAAGGGAGATTCAGTAAATTCATGGATGCAAGAACCATCAATGCCTACTACGCAGGATGGCTACATATCGTCTCCTGTATCTGAGGCAGTAGGCTTCTGTTTATCCATTGCTGGGGAACAAAAATGGATGGATCAGTTGCTCTATTACACTTATGTTCTGATGGCAGTCTTTCTCTAGGCATTTGGTTGGCCACTGGGAGATCCAGATCCAGGACTTGGATAGGCCTTTGATCTGATTGATGAGATTAAGTGCTGGGTCACATCTGTAGGAGTTCATCAAGAGTGTATGTGTGTGCTTAATAGGAAGCACAGTGCAAAGAAAGTAATTACAAACAACAGTTGCTTCTTTAAATTTTGACACATTACAGTGGTGCCTCGCTTAACGGGTCGTTGCTTCTTTAAATTTTGACACATTACACATTAACGATGAAATCGCATAGCAATTAACTTTTTGCGATCGCTTTGCGATGTTCCCTATGGGGAAAAATTGCTTTGCGATAATCGGTACCCTGTTTCGCTTACCGATCATCGCAAAGCGATGATTTTTTTAACAGCTGATCGGCGGTTCCAAAATGGCCGCCCGCTGTTTTCTGGGACGGATTCCTCGCTTACCAGGCAGCGAAAATGGCCGCCATATGGAGGATTTTCGCTTAAAGGTGAGTCTGAAGCCCATAGGAATGCATTGAAGGGGTTTCAGTGCATTCCTATGGGCTTTTTAATATCGCATAGCGAGGCACCACTGTATTTATTATCAATGAAAACTAAGAGAGAAATGCAAAATATTAAAACAAGGCGTGACGGACAGCTCTCAGATCACTCCTGTCATCGATGAAAACTAAGAGAGAAATGCAAAATGTTAAAACAAGGCATGACGGACAGCTCTCAGATCACTCCTGTCAGTCAAGTCAGAGCTCTGGTGTGGGAGCTTATGACATGCCGGTGGGGGGGGGGAACCAAGAGAATAAAAGGAGACAAAATTAAGTCAGATCTGTGGTGTGGGAGCTTATGACATGATGGGAACCAAGAGAATAAAAGGAGACAAAATGACAGTTAATGACAGTTTAAGGCAGTTAGGGCCGTGGTTGTGTTAGAGAGAAGCGAAAAAGAGAGCTAGAGAGAGAAATTGAAAGAGATAGGAATAGGACAAGTCTTGGAAAGTTTGGGTGGTTAATAATTGAATGAAAAGTGATAATAATAAAAGAAACTGTTTGAATACAGCAACATCGTGATTAAAGAAAATCTAACTACACAAGCATATCTCAAATCAAAAGAACATATATTAAATGAATAAAATAAGACCAGCTTGTATTTCCATGTATGATTGAACGGTTATCCTATAAATAAACCTTGTTAATCTTGACAGCTGTGACTCATTATTAAAATTTGGTAGATTGAGGAAAATCCTCTGGTGGCTGCCTATAAAAGGTGAAAATTATAAGTAGCACCGAAAGGCTAGTCTGGGAGTTAAGGAAAACAAACAGAGGAGCTGGAGGGCTGCTACACAAGGCATTTTTGTTCTTAATAGCATTTAAAAGCTCATTTTGAAATAATTCAGACCTCTACTCATCCATTAAGTTTTGGCCACCAGTTTGTCATCTTCATAATTATAATGTAATCCACCTACTTTGCCTCCATGAAGGTCAGTGCCTGTACAGTACTTGCTTAAGTTATATAATTTTACTTATTTTTACCCAGCATAGCAATGTAGACAGTTTCCTTCCAATTTCTGTTCAGTATACAGACTTTGCATTGGCATACTAATCTTTCAGAATTCTTCCTACATATTTTTTCTTTCAAGTCAATTTATATGTGTTTCTTTGGCATTATGTCATCAGAAATATTTTATCTGTTGATTTGATATTGTCCACTTTTAATGTAAGCTTTAATATGAAAATTAATAGTGCACTCCTATACATATCTACTCAGAAGCAAGTTCTATTCAGTTCAGTGGGAATTATTCTCAAGTAAATGAGCACAAGACTGTAGCCTAAAACTCTAAGGTCTTTGTTATTTGTTTCAAGATGTGTTAAAAGAGAAAGAAAATATTTTGGGATTTTAGGATAACATAAAATATTGAATCCATTCTTCATTTTTCACCTACAGGGGAGAAACAAAACTGTGGTCTCCACAAATATCTGAAGATGGCAAGCCACATCCATTCAAAATAAATCTGGAAGCTGAACCACAGGTAGTTTTGAATCAATATCATACCCAGCCACATGAGTGCCCTGACCTAGATCATGCACATACCCTGCGCCCTGTGGTTTACTTTTAAAAAGTAGCTCATACAATTACTAGCGAACATCAAAAGATGCTTAAAAGCCCTGCTAAATTGACAGTATTTGCAAAAAATCACTAGTTTCATAAATGTTCTTTCACATAGCATTAGCCTTCAGTAGCAGGACTGGCTCTATTATTAGGGAGAATCATGCATTTGCCTCAGGGAACAGATTCTGTCTGTCAGAAGCACCTGAAATTGTTGTTTAAATTATTCTTTTTTTATTTTAACTGTCAAAAGAGGCAATGGTGAGATTTTCTGCCTCAGGTGCCAAAATAACCTGACCTGCCTATAGCAATATTCAGCTTGATCTGGAGATTTAGTTGTGGGGGAGTTGCAATTTGCTGCTCTGACTCAGGTAGCAAATAGTCTTGGACTAACCCTGCCATAGCACCATTTTGAGTAATTTCTATCATCAGTGAGTGAAAATTGGACTTGCCCAGTTTCTACCAACTCTTCTCATTTATCCCAAGTAAGTCGAATTCTACCCCTTCATTATTTTTTACTTGAGTGAAGTGAGACTGGATCCAGAGATTTCTAATTTTACAATAGTTCACACAGTTAAGACACTAGGCTAAAGAAGGGTCATTCATTTTACACATATACAGTAGGACCCCCTTATCCACGGATCAGTATCCTCTGAGTCACTTATCCATGTTCTGAAAATATTAAAAGAAAAATCCTATAAATATGTATTTTTAATATATGAAGTTACCAGAACTGAGCACTAGTGGGAGCCAGGGACCATATTGTGTAGCATTCACTGTTAAAAGTATTTGTTGTAATCCACATTTTTCAGCATATGTGAGGGGTCTTGGAACTGATCCCTGTAGATACAGGGGTCCTACTGTACTGGGAAGCCGCAGACTATCGTGCTATACAAGATGTGTACATGCGTGTATCTTCATTGAACTCTGCCTTACACCTTTCCAAATTTTTTAAGGAGAAAATATATCGTATCCTTACATGTTATGCTGGATATACAAGCATGTGCAATTTCCTGTGTTAAAAAGGTATACATACATAGTATTGTTATCATCATAGACTTTTCAACAAAAGAACAAAAATCACTACAGCACTGTAAGAGTGAAGTACATTTCATTAAGGAATTAAGAAGGCACTATTGAATATTATCTGTATATAATGTAGCTGTTGATAAAACATTCCCTCTGCCCCATTTAACTGCTTTGGTTACAATTAGCTCATTTTCAACCTCACACTTACATTTGCAGGCCAAAATGTCCTATGTTTTCTTGCTCTGTCTCATTTTCTCTCTTTTAATTTGCATGTAACTAAAAATTCCTCTTTAACCGTATCTATAAACTAGATATATATTCTTCAAAATTAGGTACACGTGTTTCTAACTTTTAAAATAACCTGATCTGTAATTTTAATAAAAATGTGGTATAAAGGTTGAATTACAAAATTAATAACGTATTTTTCTTGGCATTCCTGTTTTCATTCATATGGGCAGCCAAGCTTTTCCTTTTTAGGTGTCATTTGAAACATTAAAACCCTGTCAGTGAAATTCAGAGTCTATATATGGGCTCTTTATGTACTGGAAATGTTCATGCCCTAACTCTTCTCCTTGTAGCTGCCTTTGTCCCAGAAAAACTGCTCCTGAAAATCAAGGAGATACTGGAGCAGCCTCCAAGGTAGCTTGAGACTCCTACACACTACGACATTTGGGTACATACACAGTGACCCTTTGACACTAATCTAGAACAACAGTTCTAAACAGAACTCAATATACTTTTTTTTCCAGCTACCTCTAACCATCCATCTAAAACATGTTAATGTAATGTTAAACTGGTCAGAGCTACATATCCTATCCAGAGAAACACTGTGTGAAAATAAATTGCATCCTCACTCAAAACCATGATTTATGTCCATATTGACTTAATGATTTTGAGTGTGAAAACTGTTCCATGTCAATTACACAATACTCTGAGTATACAAATTATTCCAGATTAATTAATTTGGAATAACTGGTAGCATGTTCTAAGATTTGTAAAACTAACATTCACATTATAGGAAGATTAATGGATTGTGCTGCTTTTTAAAATTTTGAATAAATTTTACAGTGATAAAGGAGGTATTTTCAAAACATGTATTTTACCACTGAAAAGACTGTCTTGATTAGCTGTAAAAAGGTCCACTGAGGAGATTCTTCCAAAAGACTCTTCCCGTGCTCATAAAATGCAACTTTTGTTCACAACATTGGGGAAATATAATTACTTTTATGATCCAAATTTCATAAATAATATGTTGTGATACCTTTAAAACTGGACTTTGGTTGCTTAATCATTTATCCCAAGTACAGTAAAGTAGGCAATCAGGCAATCAGCCAAATTTCAGATAAAATATGCATATAATAAACACAAGAGCTGGACTGCACATTTTATTATTTTATTTTATTGTTGCTGCTGCTGCTGCTTGCTTTGCCACTTATATTTTGCACACTGGGTGATTTCCAAGAAAGGCTCTTTCTGACAAAGCATTTGTTTCTTCCCCACTTTGTACCAGTTAGGTGCCACTTGATGCCACTTGAGCATGGATCTTACAGGATCTTAGCAGGTTTTCTGCCCACAGAGGAAGAGGGATGTGCGCACACGCATGCACGCGCGCGCACACACACTGAGAGACAGAGAGAGAGAGAGAGTAGGAGAGGTCAGGAGTCAGGGAAGAGAAGATCTGATAACTGCAGGAGACTGGAAAGCAGGTGAATTCTAACTTCTCCACCCCGCTGTGCTCAGGGATTTCTTCACTTCAGCTAACATGATTGCCCATGCTATTGTCATTCTTAACTCCCTGCTCTCCACCTGAATTTGCCTGTGAGAATTTACAGCACCTAAGTGCTGACTTCTTTTGGCAGGAATTGTTTGTTTTATAGATTATAATGAAATCGAAAGTTTTTATTTAGAGAAGCTCTTGCCTCCTAAATTCTGCCCCATTACAAAACCAAACAAGCAAATGGGAGTTGGGGAGAGAGACATCTACAGAAGATGATTTAACAAAACAGGGGGAAACAGGGGTTTTGTTACATTTGTCAAGGTTGTTATTGGTATAAGTTTTCCTTCATCTTGGCAGCAGGAAAATTACCAGGATCATAAGCACACAATCAGCCACAAAGCAAGACAGTATATGTTGCATGCTGAGTCATGTGACTTGGTGTGTATTGAACTGAATTTTATTTATTACAGTCAGGTGGCCAGCTCATAAAACATATTTATGGCTAAAATATACAAAATGCAGTTTAAAAATATACAACCAATTCATAAAACATATTATGTGGTTAAAATATGCAAAATGCAGGTTAAAAATGTGCAGCCAGTTCATAAAACACATTATATGGTTAAAATATACAAAATGTAAGTAAAAAAGTGTACAACAGATAATTGTGTCCTGGTTGTAAAATATGGAGAGATTCAAATACAGCATTTTATAGCTATCCTTTGAGCTTGCTGTATGAGAGATATTGCTTATGAAGGTTTTTTTAACTTACAGAAGAGTAAGAGTTAGGGTTAGGGCCTCCCGCCAGCGGTGGAGCCCGGGCCGGGCGGCAGCGGTGGAAGCCTGGGAGGCCTCCCACTGGCGGCAGTTGCAGCGGTGGTGGATCCAGGGCCGTGCGGCAGCGGTGGAGGCAGAGATGAGGAAACATGAAGTGCAATGCTGCTTATTACATCTTGCTTACCAGGTGTTCCTGAGAATACAAAGCAGTGACAGTTATGATTGCTGCTAGTTTCAGGCATGCCTCCTCTTTATTGTCTAGTTACACCCACTCTTCTATGCCTCTTGCTGGAATAAAGCTGATGGTCATGTTTGGAAGTTTAAGCCTTTTCCCCTCTGCCTCACAGGCTGGTAAATGTTTGTATGGTAAATCATAGGGTGCTTGCTTAATTGTTTACTAAATCAAAGTCTTTGTCATTTTGCTGACCAGGTGCATTTTATTAATAATTGGCAGCATTGACAGTTTTGCTTGTTACTGGCTTCAGTGTGCATTGCAGCTTTGTGTATTTTGTCTGCCCATTATGCACAGGAATTCAAGCCTATTGGTACAGCTCACAACAGAAGGGCCCAGCCTTTTGTTGCAGCAGCAAACCTGGACGACAAAAGGCAGGTAGTGAGTTCTGCCTATAACTCTCCCATTGGGCTATATTCATCTGGCAATATACATGATGCTCTTCATGGACAGCTGCGGGGCCTAGTACCTAAGTCCTCTGAAAAGTAAGTATTATATGATAATATTGTTGTCACTGTTGTTGCAGCAGCAGAAGCTGTATACTGTTTCACACTTTTGAGTCCAGCTCTTGCTGTTCCCTCCTTTTCAAAATATTTACATTTAAGTTAATACTCGGATAGACAAAACCAAGATTACAGTGGTGCCTTGCTTAACGAGCGCACCGTATAATGAGGAAATCGCATAGCGAGCCGTTTTTTGGATCGCTAATGCGATCGCTCAACGAGCTTTAGATAGGGAGAAATTCGCTTTGCGAAGATCGGTAAGCGTTTCGCTTCCCGATCTTCGCAAAACGAACCTCCGACGATCAGCTGTTTGGTGGACAAAATGGCCGCCGGAAGCCCCAAAATGGCCGCGCGCAGCGTTTTCGCTCCCTCCCCTCGCTTAATGAGGGCGCGAAAATGGCTGCTGGCCATAGGAAACCTCGCTGAATGGTGAGTAAAGGAGCCTTTTGGAACGCATTAAACGATGTTTAATGCGTTCCAATGGCTTTCCCTGTCCCGTTCAGCGATGTTTCGCTATAGCGAAGGTTAATCCGGAACGGATTAACCTCGCTATGTGAGGCACCACTGTATAAGACATTTCTCTTCTACAAAGTTGGTTACACTGAAACTTGTTTTTGTTTGTAACATTGAGCCAGACAGTCAAGGCTACACATTGAAGGCTCTAATTCTATGTTTATGCACAATCGGAAGAGTGAGCTGTGTTGGAATTTGACTTGCTCCTGGTTTAGCAGTGATAGGATTATTTTCCAAATCTTGTTGAGAGCTTTTCCAGCATATGATGTGTAGCCTGAGTCCCAGCATGTTTTCTCTAAAGCAAGTTCCACCCTGCTCAGTAGCTCTGATGAAATCCTTGTATGTGAAATTAAACTTGCCATTTAAAGTGCTTGATTGTCTCCATTGTTTGTTTCCCCACAATAACAGCAAAAGTATTAATATATTACTGTTATACAACTTATAACACAATAAACTGCAACATATGTTAATTAATAGTCTGTGGAATCAAATATACAGTAACTTACTGAAAGTTTGTTTTTTTTAATCCTTTCCTTTCCTTTCCAGGATATGGGCTACTTTGAACACAAGCACAATATTCGGCCCAAACCTTTCGTAGTCTCAGGCCCAAGCAGGTTATACATTCTGTCTATAATTGGATGCATGGTGTTCTTAACAATTACTCATACTTCAACTGAAAACAGTAATAGGGAAGTTTTAAATGTGTTGTAAAGCCTTCTAATTAAAACAGTGCTTGCTTCACAGCATATATAAACCTGAAATGAAAATGTTAATCCCAAGACAGAGAGAGACCTGGCTTTTGCATCATGGAGAATATCCATAAAAACAGAATACATCCGGTGCAAATATTGTTCAAGGTCCTAACCATTTGCCCAGTAGCAGCATTCCCCAAATGCAGTTAATTTCAAAGATATATCACTACACATGGAGCATTTCTAGGCTGGCTGTACCATTAGATACAGTGAAGTCAACATACCAAGCCATAGATGCTAATGGATATTGGCAGCAACCCCTTCCCTGGGCCAGTTGTCCTGAAACCCCTTGCCATTCCCCTCTATTCAGAGGCAGAACTGTTTGTGCTGCCCAGCCTATCCAGCACTCCTTAAACAAATCTGCTGCCAAAGGTGTAGTGGATGTCATGACTGCACCACATGGTTCAGTTTTCAGGAATCTTCTCTTCCTTGGGCTGCAAAACATCTTTCCAGCCATGTTGCATGGTTATCAGCCCAGTGTTATCCATGATGAGTAAGGAGGATGCATGGGCATTCTGATGGAAAAAAACAGGAAAGGCAGGATCTGAGTGCAGATGAAAATCTCTGCCATGTGCTCCTTGACAGCCAGTAGGAACTTAAGGAGAGGATGACTTGAAGACTGGAAATCCTGTTACATACTTACACTGGTGTAATTCCAATGGCATCAATTTCAGTGGCTGTTTGCCACTGCTTAAGAAGTTGGCACTTGTTTTTTTCTTGTCATGTGCCAAGTCAAACAATTGGTATATGACAAGAAAAACAAGTGCTGCTGACTTCTGAGATAGAGACAGTTGACCGCTGACATTTCAACTGTTGAAGTTATACCAGCAGACATAAGTGAAAATATTATAGAACTGGAAACTGGGGAAGAGCTTACTAATCTATACATCTGCCAGGTCAGTAATGGTATGCATTGGAAAAAAAAAAAGGAGCACTCATCTTATTTCTTTTCTGTGTAATTAGACCATTCTCTTTGGAAAAATTTTGTAAGAAGAAATGTTGGGTGCTGCAAAGAAGCAGAGCTTTAGAATTTACTTGAAAAATACAAATCTGCTGACCAAAGAGGATGAAAATATTTTTGCTAACTGAATGCCCTCCACACTTCTGTCCTTAGGCAATTGCAGGGCCCAACCTGTTCCTTCTAACAACACATCTGTGTGGCTTTTTAATACAGTGCTCCAGCTTTTAGAGTTAATACCATCATTCCTGACTGATCTTGCATCTGGCTTTGCAAGTTGGGTCCTGATTTTTTAATGAGTAACTGATATGTAGCTGTATGGCTGTCCCCTTGTATGGGTATTTGGCTGAGTGATCTGGCAACCATAAAGCTGGCTTTGTACTAGTTCTAGAGCATGTGAGGCTCTTCTGGCATTCTTTGTCTTGCCTTTGATGGTAAGGAATGTTTTCTTAAACTCTATGACACCGTAGTCCTACATACATTCCACATGACATCTGTGAGGGAATAGAAGGATACATTTAAGAAATTTAAGAAATAAATAATACATTTGGAAGGCAAAATTTAGAAAAAAAGTTTTGTCAAGCAGAAAAAGCTGCCACTGAGATGTGGACAGTGTTTGTATGCGTATTATATATACAGTACATATGTCATTAGTAAGTCCTAGAGATGTAGTGAATATTGACATTTGCATATGAAACAAAATGTGTTTTGTGAATGTCTAAAAATTCAGATGTACCAGTCAGTGCCTATATGTGACTGCCAACATTCAAATATTCACATATTCCCTGAACCTAGTGTTGTTAATGTTCTGGGGATACAGATACGAATAGTGGCACCAAGGTGCCATGGAGGCCCATCCCCTCCCCCCAGAACCAGCCACTGCACAGATCTGGGGCCCTTCGTTGTCACACCAATCTGGGAAGCGGCCCAGCTGGTGCGTCCCTGTGTAGCCAACAACAAATCACCTGAGTGGGGAGACTCCCCGTCCCATCTCCTCACCAGAGTGATCTGCTTTTCAGGGAGGCGGGGAAGCACTAGCCAGGTTCCTTCCTGGATTGGTGTGATGATGGCGATGAAGGCCCCCAGCACTGTATGGTGACCGGTGAGTGGACTGCCCAGTTCTAGGGGGAGGGAATGGGCCTCTGTGGCACCTGTGGTGCCACTATTCATATTTATATCCCTAGGGATACGAATAGCCCATGCCTAATGCTAAGCAACAGGATTTCAGTCTGAGAATAAACCCCACTGAAAGCAGGAAGTGCAGTTCTATAGAGCAGTGGTCCCCAACCTTGGGCCTCCAGATGTTCTTGGACTTCAGCTCCCAGAACTCCTGTCCAGCAGAGGTGCTGGCGAAGGCTTCCAGGAGTTGTAGTCCAAGAACATCTGGAGGCCCAAGGTTGGGGACCACTGCTCTATAGAACTGCACTTCCTGCTTTCAGTGGGGTTTATTCTCAGACTGAAATCCTGTTGCTTAGCATTAGGCATGGGCTATTCGTATCCCTAGGTGGGACTCACTTCTCAGTACAAAAGCGAACCCTATTGCATGTTAGTAAATAGTAAGACTGAGCTGGCTAATTAGCTCAGTGAGTTAGAGATCCAGCTGCAGAGGCAAAGGTTGGGAGTTGGATTCCCCCAGAAAGGGCAGACTATGCAATCGTGGGCAGGCTGCACAGTCCCAGGGTGCCCCCAGAAAAAGGAAATGGTAAACCACTTCTGAGTACTCTCTAAGGAGAAAACTCAGAAAAGTGTCACCATAAGTCAAAACTGACTTGATGTTAGGTAATTATTATTAAAGGATGAGTGCACAATCATTATATTACAGTGGGGTCTCTACTTAAGAACGTCCCTACTTAAGAACAATTCCACTTAAGAACAGCTCCATTTGCTAAATTTTGCTTCTACTTGAGAACAAAAATCCAGATAAGGACAGGAAAAAAAACTTTCCTGCTCTTTTTTTAACCTTAGGTCATCTTAGGTTAAAAAAAAGTTCTCCCCCTAGTGGTAGAGTACGTATTAACCAGCTTTGCATTAGTTCCTATGGGAACTAATGCTTCAATGTACGAACGCACCTCTACATAAAAAAACAGCCAGAACGGATTAATTGGTTTTCAGTCCATTGCTTCAAAATTAGCTTAGTCAGAAGTGCTTTTAACACTGTTCCCTGACCTAAGGGGGAAAAAAGGAAAAAAATCCCCCTCTAATGGTAGAAGGTGGAATAGCAGCTTCCCATTAGTTTCTATGGACGGAAAAGAGCAGATACGGATTAAATGGTTTTCAATGCATTCCTATGGGAAATGCAGATTCTACATAAGAACTTTTCCACTTGAGAACCACCTTCCAATACGGATTAAGTTCTTAAGTAGAGACCCCACTGTACTTGCATTCCAAATCTAGAGTATGTTACCCAGAATTAAACCTCATTATTTTAATAGTATTTATTTTTCTGCTAAATAAAGTCACATCATTAGAGCAGCTTCACACATTATAAGCAAGAAATAAGCAAGTAGGTAAAAATAACTATCACATAGGTTTCTTTGCAGGACGGGCACATTTTCTTTCTACAATCTAGGCCAAAAGAAATCCTTGTCATTCTCTCATTTAAATTTTTACATAATGGAGACTTAGAGTATAACCTGTGGATTCTGAGGAGCTCTTAATGTTAAATATTTACAAATTGCATAATCTCTCCTGGAAACTATCTTTAGGAAATTAAGACCAAGCTAAATGTGTCACATGAGACCTACAATAGGGTCCTCGGCCATTTTAAATTGTTAATGCTATCCCTGATGGCTCTAGATTTGAGCAGATTACAATGAGTGGAGAGAGTTTTAAATATTCTCCAGTTATGCCATTTTATCTGATTTAAATCATCCTCTACCAGAGTTTTATGCTGGGCAGGTGAAAAATTCAGGCAGATATATTTTCAGTTTAAAAGGGGGGGTTCATCTGTAAATATTACATTCATGGTTAACATAGTTTTTGTTTTCGGCCACTGAAATTGCACATTCTGTGATACAAAATTGCACAAGAATCCCTCCTTTTTCATTTGGAAACAAAATGCAAGACTTTGATGGAATATGCAGAATTGATGGAATGCAAAACATTAGACGCTTGGCACTACAATTGCTCACTCTTTAAGCTGCTGGCAAATTATACACAGCAAAAAGTAATATGAACAGGAAAGCTGAATTTCACAAAATCGGGGTTTTTGTTTTTTGTGCATTTGATTTGTTAGGTTGATTCGCTTTCATTGCTCTTGAGTATGCTCCTACTCGTGTTCGTCATCTTTTAATTTTCTCTCTGGTTTGCATCACATATTTTTTGTGTACCGGTTTCTGGCACAGTGTATGCAGTACTCCTTCTGGTTTTGACGGCGGCAGTGGACGTAGCACACCCTCTTCAGTTAGCACTGTTAGCACTATCTGTCCTACTGAGCTGAAAGCTGCAACTAAGATGGCCCCCAACGTTCCCTTAGAAATGGAACTTCCTGGTGTCAAGATTGTACATGCTCAGTTTAATACACCAATGCAGTTGTACTCAGATGACAATATTATGGAAACTCTGCAGGGGCAGGTTTCTACAGCACTGGGGGAAGTAACCCCGATAAGGTAATTAGTGCCACCATGTATGTTTGGCATATTTCCTAATGCATGACTGATGCTGCTGTTATTGGTTCTTTGCTTCATTAGTCATTAAGGGTTTTAAATATAGTTAATCCATGCATATTTTTAAATACAATGGTGCCTCGATTTACGACCATAATCTGTTCCAGAAGATGGACGTAACTCAAAATGGTTGTAAGTCGAAGCACGATTTCCCATAGGAATGCATTGAAATGTAATTAATCCGTTCCGGCCAAAGGAAAAAATCACACCAAAAAAAAATCACTGCAAGACTCATTGGAAACATGATTAATCCCTTCCGGACGAAGGGAGGGAGAAAAGCAATCAAGCATGCAAGACGCATTGGAAATGGAAAGAAAACCAATGGAGCAGATCAGAAATGCACAGAGAACAAAAGGGGCAGGTCAGAAATGCAAAGAAAACAAAGGAAAAACCAAGGGAAGCATGCAGGACCCATTGGAAATGTCTGTTGAAAACCATGCACACAGACATTTTTCAGACAGGTGGCTTTGTTAGTATATTTCAGCCTGCATAATGAAAACAAAACAAAATCTTGTGGTTGATTCTTTCCTAAACTCTCCTGACCTTCCCATGGGGTAGCGCAGTGGTTAAACGGCTGTACTCCAGCCAAAACTGTGCTCAAGACCTGGGGTTCAATCCCAGGTAGCAGCTCAAGGTTGACTCAGCCTTCTATCCTTCCAAAGTCGGTAAAATGAGTACCCAGCTCGCTGGGGGGGCAATGTGTAGCCTGCATAATTAACTTGTAAACCACCCAGAGAGTGCTTGAAGTGCTATGGGGCGGTATATAAGCAGCAGGCTTTGCTTTTTGCTTTGAAATCCAAAAAGAGAAGCATTCCTTCCCTCCAAATAAGAAATGTGAAACCAAAAAGGTAGAAATCTCATCACGACAAAGTGAGTGAGTTATGTTTTATTGTGACTAAGCAAGTGACTTGTAATCCATGAAAGCTCACACTGAAGTAAATATGTTAGTCTTAAAAGTGCCACAGGACTTTGAGCTGATCCACAAGTTCTACTTCCTCTTGTTTAAGAGGGGTTCCCTCACTCATTTATTCAGATCCGTTCAATGGATCTTCTACATAACACTACTAGAAATGCAAATCAATCCTTCCCCCTTGCCTTCCACTTCAGGCTTATTTTGTTTCACTTGGAAATGAGATTTATTTGTTTTGCAACCTGCTTCCTTCCAGATTAGCCCCATTTATTCCTTTGTCTTCAACAACCCTGGTTCCTATGGTGGCCTGTACAACTACAACTCACCAGACATCAACTATGGCCCTGGTCACATGAGGGAAATGTTCTCTAGTTATCCCCCAGTTAGATTGTTGCTTTTTTTTCCCTGGTCACACGAGGCAGTCAAGATCAAAACATTTTCCCACCCAGTGGTGTAAACTGTGGTTTATTTTTGATTCCCTGGGATGGCTGAGTTATTTTGTACCTCTATTGTATCTGTGCATTCCTTACTGGAACCATTTGGATTGCTAATTTTATTTATCTATCCAACCTGCCCTGTTTCTTTTCAGAATCGAAGCCAGGAAGGTGGCTGCCGTTATTGTGGCACACATACTCTTTCATTTCTTGGGGCCAGTACATTGATCCATTGGTTAAAGTGTGTCACAGAACACATTGAGCCATTGCTGCACTATCAGCATTTCAACATGCCACTTTTTGCCAAGACAGTCGTGGGAGGGTTGCAGGGTGGGAAAGGAAATGGCAGATTATTCTGAACGGCAGAGGAGATGGTAAGGGAAGTAGACAGACAAATGGGATTTTGCAGGAGCAGCCAGTGCAGCAGAGGGCATATTCCCAAACAAAAACCTCTTCCTGATATATCAATAAATATTTATATATTTGATAGATATCCATAAAAGGGCAGAGTTTGTGCATATCCCCTCCAAGGGGTGGAGACAGTGTGGAAAATGGGAAGGGATAAGACAAAAATTGGTGGAGAGTTGGAGGATGAAGGGAGGAGACATGTCACTGTGAAAACTCAACTCAGATTACATTCAAGGAAAAATTAAAACAGGGACTGCAACTCGGAGTGAGTCATTCTAGATCTACAGGGAAAAGGGATCACAGTTCCAACCCACATCAATCTGAGCCACATGCCTTATTTGGATGGGCTTGTTCTGATGACAGGTGCAGAGACTTGACATTTTTCAGGGCATTAATCTAATCATAGGCATACTGTTGAGGTATTAAAATCTATAACCCTATTACAGTTGAGCTAAGCATTATAACTGAGCCACCAATTAATATAAGAGATATGCAGGAAAATCTTCTGCATACTCAATAGCAAATCCCAGTTTATCCAGTAACTAACTGTTCATGTTTTATAGTTATGATCTACATCTGCAGTCCTGTGCACACTTAACCTGAGGGTAAGACCTACTGAAATAGAAGGACTTACTTCTCATTAGGATTGTGCATCTAAGTTGGTGACCCGATTTGTCACTGCTAGGCAAGCACCTTTGAATGTTGATGTCTTTTTATACGGTTTTCAAGCTTATAAAAGGATATGCCAGAATTTTAACATTATTATTAAAGGAGGTACGAAATACTTGGGATCTGTTAATGAATAGTTTTCAAAAACAAGGAATACTGTTTATGTTGTCAAAAATTCTAGAACAGGAAATAATTCTTCAAGATAAGGGCCACTGGATAATCCTTGGTCCAATATTACCATCCACTAAATAATTTAAAATTGGAATGATTTTATTGAGTATTTTTATCAGATTCATTTAAAATTTTAAAATTGTCATTAGTGCCAGAGAAAGTCAATGGGGATAGTTCATTAATTCCCACTAGGGCTAAAGTTATTTGAACCTATATGCAATCACCTTTAAATTACAAGGTATCTTCATTAACTTCAGTAGGAAATAAAGCTGTTCACAGCCTGCCATGCTAATGACAAAAAATATACACCAATACAGTTTGTGAGTTCCCACACTAATCTGCTAGGAAACTGACATTTTTAAACTCTGATGTTTTTGTGGATTGACAAAGTTGTTTGCTCGAGGATGTGATTCTCTGAACTACTGAGTAAGTGAACTGATTTTACCTATCTGAACCAAATGTCCATTTATCATATTACAAGAAGAGGCATACATACTGTTGGGAACTATTCCAGTAAAAAGTGCACAGTGATGTCTCTTGGTACAGCTCATTTTCACAAGGAATGAACTTGGGAATGCTATCGTACTGCCTAAGAGTATTTTGTGTCTCGTAACTAATACTAGCCCTGATCCTCTTGTGACATACTCTCACTGCCTTCTTGATGATTGTTCAGTATTACAACCTAAATCTAAAATGATTAGATCTAATTTCTCTTAGAAAGGTGTGAAATGTGCATTGACAGATTGCTCATATACTTGAAAGCTGATTTTCCTTAATTCGTATCTTACCTTTGGAGACAGGTTGTAAGAGATCTGGCTTTCTTCAGACATTTGGAGGGATGGAACTGGGGCAAATGGAGCCCAATCTCTTTACTCCAAAAGAGCTATTTGACACCCACATTTCTATCTAGAGTTTAGAAGAGTAACTTTCCTGGACTATAGACTCTCAAATCCCCAAACAGCATTGCCCGTGGCCTTGCTGGCTGGGGGATTCTGTGTGCTATAGTCCTTCTCCCCCACTCCCAGCTCTGTGCATATAATTCTATGGCCACTTATTTGGTAGAAGCATCTTTGAACTTACAGTGATTTACTTGTAAATACATATGTGCAGAAATGCATTAGATTCCAGATGAAGATCACTTCGTTTTCCCTTTAGTCCAATGATGCCATGATCTTCTGCTGCTATTGCTTTTGACTGCTGGATTGCTAATTTTATTTATCTATCAGTCTGCTTTTATGTTTTGTTTTATAAGATGGTTTGAACAAAAAACTATGAGAATACAGGGCAGAAATATTTTACATAAGGAAATGACCTTTGGGTTTATCTCACTGGCACTTTTCCAATTCTCAATTGTACATTCTAAGCACAGGAAATATCCTGGAGGAAATGTTATCCCTTCCTCCCAGAAGTCACACATCCGTATTTCACCATCTAAACTCCAGATTAGTTTTCCACAGACCTTGATATGCACTTAGCTGAAATCCAGTAGTAAGCTGCAACTAGAGTAGGGAATCAATTGAATCATTGGAACTTACATAGATTTTGATTCACCAAATCCCTACAGTTTCAATGGGTGCGCTCACGTTGTTATTTAACTACTGGATTTCAGCCAATATAGTATGATTTTGTTTAATAGCATTTTCATTTTTATAATGAAATGAAAATGAATATACTGTTAGAACACACCTTGTTTTTTAATTTAGTACAATGCAAAATATGGTCTGGAAACAAAGACTCAGGCAGGGAGTAATTTTGCCTACCCAAATGAGATTTTGACTTCTGTTTTGTTATTGTTTTTTTCTTAACAACAGCCCCCTCTCTCAAAAGCACAGAGTTTTTTACCTGAAATCAATTTGGTGTTTTGGGAGAAGAGTCTGCCAGTCAAAGAGGAAAAGTTAAAAACAAAATTAACTGTGTAAGCCCAAAGCTTTCAAAAAAGCCAGAAGTATGTTTTTGGATCCTACCTATGAAGGTTGAAAAACAGTGCTGTATAGTGGTCAACAGAATAATGTTATTGTGACAAACCCAGACCTACTGGGATATGTCACACAGTTACACTAAGCTGCCACCAACCATTCCCTTTAAGAAGTCACACAGACCAGGGATGGATTTTTCAAACAATAAAAAGAATAAGGTTTATTTTAAATACACACAGGGAAAAATAAACAATCAGGTGAATAGGTAAAGTAACGTGGCTTATTCTCACTCAAACAAGCATACAGTTTGGTTCACCCAGAACCCTTAACTTGAAGCACAGACCCTGAACCTATCAGTTCTGGCTAACCAACAGACACCTGAACCTATCAGGTTGGTACTCTGACACACAGAAGTACCCTGTCTGACACACAGACTCCCACAACAGCTTCTTCTTCCCAGCTGCTGCTTCGTCACCTCCCAGTGTCTCCCAGTGTCTCCCAGTATCTCTCCACACACGCTCCACATATATATACAGTACAGCCCCTCCTCCTGATGTCCCGCCTTCCACTCCCCATAGGATGGAACTTTCCCTCCAAACCCATGACAGACAGGTAACATCAGTGCTGTATGTAACAGTTATCACCTAAATCTAATAAATTGATGTCCTCCTTTTTCTACCTTCCATTCCATATTGGTTAATCATCTTTCATATATTTTGTTGATTCTGCAGTGACCCAGTACCAGCTGCAGTGCCCCAGTCTGATGTTTACAGGATGCTGCATGATAATCAGCAAGGATCTAGCCAGCCACGCCAGTCTGGTTCCTTTAAGGTGCTTCAAGACATGGTCTCCGAAGAGTCTGGTTAGTTGCAGTTTTTTATGTCTGCCTTTATGTAAATTGTGTGCATACATGCATCTGGGAAGACAACCTGCTGAATTGACACAGTTTTTGGCTTGGCCAGTAACTAGAAGGGAAGCCAACTGGGAATCACATCTCAGTCATCTTGAGTTCTATAAAGGGAGAAAAGTAAGATATGAATGTCTTCTATAAATAGAGGAAAGTCTAAACAATATGCTAATAATTATGTAGAGCAATGCCCAACGGATGGTGCACAGCAATACCAATTACAAAATAAATGTACAGAGGCTATTTTTATGGAGAGAAGAACAGAAGTCATAGAGAGGAAATGATAAAATAACACATTGACCAAAATCCTGTTAAGTTATGCCTGTGGAAGAATAATGGAGCCACTGACAGATTTATTAAAGATTTTGGTCCCACAGATTGTCCAGCTCTCAGGAACCCAGTTTCATTGTGTGCAAATGGGAATCCCAGGTTGGAAGGAGGAAGCCTTTAATCACCAAAAATCTCCCTGCTGGTAACATAATTTGGTGGAGGAGATTTTCAGCAATTAAATACTTCATTCTTCCATTCTGGGAATCCCACAACTTGCAAACAATGAAGTGGATTACACATGAATTGGTCAAGACACTGGACAGAAGTAAGAAATCTTTACTTACCAGAAATTTCCTCCCTGCTGGTGATACCACATTTCCATAGATGTAACTTACACAACAGGATTTTGCCCATTATTTAATTAAATGGCATATCCTAACTTGCAGTGCAGTTAATGTGCCAGTTTACTCAGAAGTACAATCCATAGTTTTTAATTAGGCTCATCTCATTAGAAGTACATTTAGGATAGTGCCTAAGAGAGCATAGGCATGGAACCTATATATCATAGTAAAAAGCCATCTCTGAATCTAATTTTAGGAGAGGAAAAACTACAGCCTTGGGATGTGTGGAAACCATTCACACTTTGTTAGTGTATAGTTGTAATTACAGTGGTATCTCACAAGACGACGACCCTGCTAAATGATGAATCCTCGTAATGATGACTTTTTGAGATTGCTACAGCGATTTGCAAAACAGTCATTCCAATGGGGGATTTTTGCTGGACGTCAATTAGGTCTGTGCTTCGCAAACCGTTTGTTGGCAAGATGACCATTTTTTTGGATTCACAAAATGGCTGCCCTGTGTTTTCCGGACCCATGCTTCGCAGGGCAGCCATTTTTAAAGCTGATCGTCGCTCGCAAAATGGCTGCCCTATGGACGATCTTCACTGGACGAGGAGGTATTTTCCCCATTGGAACGCATTAAACCGGGTTTTAATGCATTCCAATGGGGAAAGGGTTTTCACATGACAACAATTTCGCTAAACAGCGATTTCAATGGGACGGATTATCGTCATCATGCAGGGCACCACTGTATCTTTGGAAATGTAAATTCAGGAGCAAGCTAGATATGAGTAGGTTGCTCATGTTTCTGGTTTGCCATCCAGTCTCTGTATTCTAACTCACATAGCTGAAGAAGTGTTCCACAAAAGCTTACATTAAAATATAGCAGTTAGTCTTTAAGGTGCCACAACATCTTTTTTTGCTTTTGTTTTGTTTTGTGTTACTTATTGAAATGCTTGCACAGACTAACACAGCTGTAACTCTGAAAACTATTACCATGTTCATTACTTGCTCATTGGCAACCAGGTCTGGCTTCTTTCAAGATGTCTGAAGAAGTGTTCCACAAAAGCTTACACTAAAATATAGCAGTTAGTCTTTAAGGTGCCACAACATCTTTTTTTGCTTTTGTTTTGTTTTGTGTTACTTATTGAAATGCTTGCACAGACTAACACAGCTGTAACTCTGAAAACTATTACCATGTTCATTACTTGCTCATTGGCAACCAGGTCTGGCTTCTTTCAAGATGAGGAAGGTTTATAAATCCTTTTCTCCTTCTGTACCATATCTTAGTCTAAATTTTCTTTTTCCAAAACTGCTATTTACTCCATTTGAGAAAGCATACCGGTATCAATATGATACAATCATTTTACCCACCCACCCCCCAGGCAAATGTAGAAGGTAGAGGAAGAAACCTATTCCCTATTCAAGCAAGCAAAATACGTTTATTGCGTGACACATATGCCATTGCAACATACAGTACATCAGATAAAACAATATAAACAATATAATATAGTCCATTACAATATAGTACAATAAAATATTAAAAGCCATTTAGAACCAAATCAAGTTGATTTCTATTATGGCACAAAGTTTTAACATCTAAGGAGAGGATAAAGGCAGATGGAAGACATTAACCAATGCCAGCAGCAAGCACTTGTCACAAGGTGAATAATCCAAAAGATACAGTTACTTAACTATTAACTTAATTGATAGGGCGCAAGGTGAACAACCCAAAAGATACAGTTACTTAAGTATTAACTTAATTGATAGAGGCGGGGGATACAGCTTTCATTTTTAACTTTTTAAATTTATTCTGTGAATGTATACTGTACTTACATTGTATTTTATCAGGCCTTTGGCTGTATAATAAAAATTTCATTTCATTTCATTTTTAACAATGTTAAAAGAGGAAGAAACAGCAAATGGGGAGGGGGAGGTTTAAACTTTTTCTCCCCAGCAAAATTTCCACAACTCAAAGCAGAGTTCAGAGAATTTACTTTTGAGGACTATAACTCCCAGAATCCACCAGTCAGCACAGCCATTGGCCATGCTCTCTGGGGCATTCTAGAAATTTTAGCCCCCCAAAAAGAAGTTTGCATGAGCCTACTAAAAGCTAACAAACAAAACCTTTGGCAGATCCTAATCACAAGCCCCCCATGTATTTTGGCCCTGAATAAGCACATGGAATATTGACACTTTCAGACATTTAGTAGGTCAAAGCTCTGCATTATTCTGTAAGCAGAAGTGGCATCTTTTTTTCTCTTTTCTTCAGATGGACGGCCTGTTACAAGGAGTGTGAGAGCACCAGTCACAAAAGTGCCAGCTGGCGGGGGAAGTGTGCCCAAAGTGCCCTTGTGTGACAAATGTGGAAATGGGATTGTGTAAGTTGTTTTATTTATTTAATATAGATAGGATAAATTATAATATAGATATCATGCATTTATATTCATAGCATAAATATTTAAAAGTGCGCACATCAAGCCAGTGGAAAAAAAATGCAGGAATAACAGCATATACTTATTTACTTATGCAAAGAATTTTATCCTGCTTTTTAGCCAAAAAAGCTATGAAAGCAGTTTATATAAGGTAGATTAAAACAGGGGAGTACCTGTTTACATGCATATAGTGTCTAAAAGGTGAGACACAGACGGAAATGGGGAAGGAAGGTATTTTTAAAGGTCAAGTATTAATATTTAAATAAAGTTTATTTATTAAACTGTCAGAATCCCAAATCAGTTTTTTGGATTGCATTCATTAATAAATGTGTTTCATTAGCTATAAAAGGTTACAGGCTGATAGTTTTGGGAAGCACTATAAATAATGCCTGCGTAGCCTTTGCTGCTAAAGTAATGCTGGCAATGCTTCTTGATTTTTATATGCTCTCTTAGCTTCCACTGAAGCTCAGGCTCAGTAGGGTGCATGCCTGACTGACCTTACACTATCCCGAATGGCTGTAGCAGAGCAGAGAATCAGGTTCACTGGCAGGCTGAAATCCTGTAGCTTAGCATAAGCTAAATAATAACTTTTGGTCCATTCCTCTCTGGTAAACAAACCACCCCTCTACAATCTGGGTGGCAAGGAGCACTGCCTTGATTATTGCACATGCATACCCCAAGAATCATGGCAGGGACACTTTATCAGGGAGGAATAGGCCAAAAGTTATGATTTGACTTACACTAAGCAATAGGATTTCAGCTTTAAAATCCTCTGCTACCCTATGGCAATGAACTCTTAAGAGATTCTGGAGCTGTAGTCCAGACTCTGCTGAGGAAGGAAGGTTTGTTCAAGGTCACATGCCACTTTCGGTTCTCCTCCCAAATCTTAAGTTTATGATACAGTATTCATAAAATCCTTTTTTAACTATAACATTTTGACTTATTATTATTATCTTTAATATGCAGTGGCACAGTAGTCAAGGCACGTGACAAACACAGGCATCCGGAATGTTTCGTGTGCTCTGACTGCAACATCAACCTCAAGCAAAAGGGCTACTTCTTTGTGGAGGGGCAGCTATATTGTGAAGCTCATGCACGGGCTCGCATGAGGCCTCCGGAGGGATATGAAGCCGTCACTGTTTATCCCAAGGCTTAACTGTTTGGAGATGCAAATACCTGCATGCATACATAAGGCCTTATCAGCTTACACCAATGATACAACTGACTGCTTGAATCCAGCATACTGGTCTTTTAAAGGGTGGGAGACAGAAAGGATGGAGAAATTAGGGAAGGATTATATTTCTCGTAGCCCATATTGGGGTGTGTGCGTGTGCATATATACTGTTGCTTTGGCTGCCAATATAATCTGAAGATAGATAAAATTGAGATGATACACTGTACTATATTAAGCAACAGCTGAGTACTTGTATATTTCATTATAGCATCCTACAGCAAGAGAACGATAGTTTTGTGTAGACTTTCACATCCAATTTTTATTTAGCACACACTGTATGAAATGGACACTATCCACTGCTGCTGTAAGCAGCCGGTGCAGGAGAATATATCCTTTAGCATAAAAGCATATGTATTATGTGAAGAGACCTGACTGTGTTCATTATTCAGTGTAATGCCACCTTGAGTCTCCTTATCAGGAGAAAAGCAGCCTATAAATAAGACAAATAAAATAAATAAAAGTGTGAGTTCTGTTTTTGTGGTAATATTTTTGCTGCACACAAGGCCAGGTCCTATGCTGACACATCAGTCTGCCCCTCCTCTCTTGCATGTCTGTTTCCCAACTGCAAAGCAAAGCACACTGCTGCTTGCTACCATAGATGGACCTGGAAGCAGATAGCCTTAACTAGAGGAAATGAATGAAGCTGAAGGAGCAATCCAGGCTGAATGGTGAGCATAGTCATGCTGGCTGTGGAAGATGGGAGTTTAGCCAAACACATCTAGACTGGGGAAAACTGTTCCATGCCATACAACATGCTTTCCATGTTTTTACTTTTATATGTCTGAAAATATATAAAGTAGGCAAATTGTCTGCAAATTGAAATATACCAGTTCACTGCAGTAGGTGTGTTGCCTGTACCTTCAATAGTGTGTAAAATAAACAAATACATGTATGAAAACACCAGGATCCAAAGAACCATGCATTTATTTCTATGTTTCTAGTGGTTGTGGGTGGGAAGGGGTTGGGGGATCCAAATTCTTATGAAAATATACAAACTAAGATGAACTGAAGCCTTTCCTTATGGGGATTAAAAAATACTGGGAATGAGCAGAGGGCCTTGGATATATGAAAGATATACTGTACAGGCATGGCCAAAACTATTGGCACACTGTCAGAAAATGCAACCCTTCTCTCAGAAAATTGTTGCAATTGCAAATGTTTTGGTACTCCCATGTTCATTTCCTTGGTCTGCGTTGGAAAAAACAAAAAAAAAAAAAACAGAAGAAAAGTCAAATCTGATACAATCCTACACAGAAACCCAAAAATGCACTGGCCAAAATTATTGGCACCCTTAACATTTGTTTGCACCCCCTTTGGAAAAAATAACTGAAATCAATCGCGTCCTGTAACCATAAATGAGTTTCTTACACCTCTCTACTAGAATTTTGGACCACTCTTCTTTTGCGAACTGCTCCAGGGCCTTCAGATTTGAAGGATGCCTTCTCCCAACTGCTGTTTTGAGATCTCTCCACAGGTGTTCTATGGGATTCAGATCTGGCCTCATTGCTGGCCATTTCAGAACTCCCCAGCGTTTTGTTTGTATTTCTGAGTGTTTTTTGAAGTGTGTTTCAGGTCATTATCCTGCTGGAAGACCCATCACCTCTGGTGGAGATGCAGCTTTCTGAACTCTACCCAGCCACAAGGACTGGTGATCACTACACACAAAAGACCAGCTAATGACACCCATCTAATGACACCCATCGATCAATCAATTTCTGGGAGCATTTAATACTTGAGTATTCGCTATCCAATTCACATGCAATGAAAATGCATTAAGAGATACAAGGTGTTTGATGAACTATGACTTGTGATGGTTTTTTTAAAAGGTAGAGGGGACCTGAAGCCCACAAGTTCCTTTTGCACAGGGCAAAATTATCTGAACATCATTCATCTTCAGAAGAAAGTTCTCTGAGCCCCAATATATTTCATCCTGTGTCTGATAAGGTCAGCAGTAAGACTGACGGGCAATGGCTAGTGCAAAAAATCTTCTTGTTGGCCTTAAAATTGCACCCTCTCCCTCAGGTGTTTGATATACAGTAATCTGCTCCTGAAGGAAAATTATGAACCCTCAAACTCATTCCCTCTGCATACTTATATGGCAGTCTTATAACATAGATTCAGTTCACAAGAGAAATTTTTTAAAAAGTTGGGACAATAAAGCCGCCTAGAGTGGTCTTTTAGATCAGATGGGCGGGGTATAAATCAAATCAAATAAATAACTAAATAAATAAAAATAAATGTTTCTGGAGATCAGCCAATGTAGCAGTTTTCCCACAAGAGACATGGATAGCAATAGTTATGTGAACCCCATTTGGTTGTGTGCCAGAGGTGTTGAATCCACAACTAGCCTCAATCTGTTTAACCTGCTGAATGGCACAATTTCAAGTGCCATCTCTATCAATATGGATCAACTCTGATAAATTACCTTTCGAGGATAGAAATCAGTTTCTTCTGAGAATAAAAATTATGTGCTGTCAACCTGCCAGGTCTCCTGCAAAGTAGATGACTAAACTGTCTAAGGTTGTCTTGGTTACCTGTACCAATTTGCCAACCATGAAGACTGGGACAGAAGGATTGCAAATTATCAAAACTGTCAGGGCTAGGCCAAGACATTTTAGTGTCTGATCTGTTACAGTAAATGGCACTCATTCTCCCAGACTACTAAAGGGCACACATGTTATTTAAGCACCTGTGGCAGAAAATCCAAGCATTTGTCCTCATCTGTAAATATAATAAATGAAAATAACTAACCATTTGCCTCTTATTCACAACATCCAAACCACCTGCCTGAATCAGTTCTCTTGTGCTTCCTAATGATCATAAAACCTGCTAACATGCAGACCACAGTCAAGTGGTGTGGTCATCTTTCTTTTGCTGTATGTGCAATAAAAGAAGGAGCGGGGGGCATAGCAGCTAACTCCTTGCTCAGGACTAGTGTTACCATTTCCCATCAATTTTCAGGATACTGTATAAGGGCATGAAATGATCCATTATTTGAATGAGTATAATTTACTACTACAGGAACCTTTAGATATTCTGCCTCAAGCACTGATATCTCTTTGTCATTTGCCATATATAGACGGAAGGTTGATGACACAGTTAACACAAATCACACTATCGGCAACCAAGGTACCAACAGTACAGAGTAAATAGCTAAATATAGTCAGATCTTTGTTGTTGTGTAATATTGTTGGACCAGGTCCAATGGTTGGACTTCTCAGCTGCTATTGAACAGGTGTAAAAGGCCTTTGCTAACCATGGTCTTTCAAATAAACACTACAACTATTTTGGAAGACCTGACAGAATTTCAGGAATAAGATAAACAACTTTGTAAGCACTGACTAAAAGCAACCACACACCATGAAAACAAAAAAAAAACTCAGACATTTCTTTATTTTAACCTTTTAAAACCCTCTTAATAAACTACTCTTCTCCACTTTTTTGTAACAACCTGAATACAGTATATCTTCCCAACAAAACTAAGGAATCTAAAAAACCTCAGACTTGCTTAAGTGTTTTAGTAATTAATAAAGCCAGCAGTTAGTCTTAAAACACACTCTCACAGAGAAAGAGAGAAATGGTTCAAAGGGATCTTTTCTCCAAAAAGCTTTGATCTCACTAAAATTAGAGAAATTTGGCTGACTGAAATTAAACACAGATTAAGAAAGATACTTTGCACATGTTCAAAGGAGGTCCTACACTAAATATCTCATATTCAGGAAAAAGATTGTCCCTCGTAAAGTGATTGTAGGGCAGTGCCTTGAATCAAATTCAGTTTTGTCTAAATCTCAGCCCAAGCTTTCCAAGTTTGTTTGCTTGTTTTAATTTCAAGTTTTCCACCAATTTTATTATTGTTTCACTATTTTAGAGTCTCCTGAAAGTTATTCATGATTTGCTACTAGTTTCTTAATCTGTTCGCTGCCTACAAAGTGGGATAAAAATAACATAAATACTGTAAACGATGTAGAAACGCAATTAAAATAAATTTAATCAATAGTTAAACACCTAGGACCCTGAGTTATTTTGCTAACACATGAGGTAATGAAGTCAAAAGAGTAAAAAAAAAGTATAAAAGCGAAAGACAAATATTTCAGAAAGCCTAACTGTATCCGGAAGGATGGGATAAACACGGGCAGAAAATTCAGGATTCCCTCGGGAATCCATAGTCTTTCCTAAGCCTTCAAAAACAGATGCCAGCATTTGACGAAGAGGACCACCGTCCACGAAAGCGTATGCTAAATAAAACTGGCTATTCTTTAAGGGGCCACAGACTGCCTGTTGCTCTAAGTCAACAGCAGCTTTCCTCGCTCCCATCGTGCCAGAAAGACAGCTCGTGCTGCCTGCAGTGCGCATGATCGGGGACGCTTGCGCGAGCCTAGCTTCTTCTCCGGTCATGTCCCGCTGTTTCGTTGCGATGGCAACTAGTCACCTGGCAACGGAAGGTAGGTGAAGCGGAGCGCCGATTTGGTGTCAGAGGGAGCCACCGTTTGAATGGGGCGAGGAGCGGTCGGGCGGCCACCGGACAAAATGAGCGCAGGCTTTGGCTATAGTGAGTTTGACGCCCATGGTGCGCTTCAAAAACACTGTTCGGGCGGGAGGTAAAAAAAAGCTAACGGAAGAAGTCGCTTAATTAATCCTAACTGTGTTCCAGGAAGCAGACAGAGTAACCGAAGAGACAGCTCCGGCTTTGAAAGCCTGGGAGAAGAAAATAAAGCCTTGCCCTCTGCCTCAGGAAGCCCGGATACAAGAGCCGCAGGTGGGCCGCTGTCCCACCCAAACACAGATACCACAAGCTTTTTTTTTTAATGGCATTGTTTGTGGCAATTAATACAGGAGATGCTATGATTGGCAGTGACAATGTCACCTCCACTACATAAGACACTGTGTGATGTCATTGTACTCCCCTATGAGACATGCTCACATGCTTTCTTCCTTGTAAATGTGAATTTTTAAATTAGTGTATGATGACTGTAGGCTTAAATCCACCTGTTAGTCCCAATTAAAGTCAGCTCATTGAATCAATTAATGAATAGTAAATCAAAACGTAAGTAAATCCAGTTGAATCAGTTAGTCCAGCTGCAGTTGGGACCTGTGACTAGTTGTATCTTTTCACTCACATTTTCCACCAGATGGTTGGTACACCAATACTAACCTCATTGTTAAATTAGCTCACTTTGGTGCTATTCACATTGTACAAAGCCTAGGGATGAACTCTTCCACTTCTGAGAGGGTAATGACATTTTTATTAATAGTTTTCTTTGATCAGTAGCCAATAACATTTTTGTGACAATTTTAAAACAATTTTCAAAGGGGTGGCCATGTTTGTTTGTTTTAATGCTTTAAGCATGAGGGATTTTATTTGGCATCAGTTTTCAGGGGCGGTGGCACCTTCTTCAAATGTATGGCTTGTAGCATCAGTAGACAGGTGTCTATCTACATGCAAGGCAGGATGTGAAATGAAATGTCTATTATATTTCACATTTTCATGAACTTACTCCTCTAGGTGTATGTTTGTCTGTCTACAGAGTCTGCACTCCATACTTAAGTGGGCTGCATTTGCTGCACTCTGTATAGCAAGTGGATCTACAAAAATCAGTACCAAATAAAACTTGCTAGTCTTTAATATGCCCGGTGATCTTTGACATTTTCTGTCTCTTCCCCACGCCATTTTCTTTCTGCACCTCAAAGTGTACTGTCTATTCCTTTTCCAAGTGATTATCACTACAACTTTCTCAGCTCCAGTCTATGAGCCATGGCTGGAAATCTTAGCTACTACACTACTACTCTTGCTACATTTTCTTCTACCACTGCCTTTCAAAAAGCTCTCAAAGCACCTGACAATGTGCGATCTGAAGAGAAACCAGAGTATCTCTGTTTTTATTCTGATTTTATTCGATTATATTTGTATTTTAAACAATTGTGACGGCTTTTAGCTAATACAATAAACTTAAACTTGGCTTGGCTGACCTGACAATGTTCTGCCATAAGACAACCCCTGCCATCAGGCTTACAGTCTGAAAGACACAAAATAGAAGGGAAGACAGGAAAAAGCAAACTCTACCATTTGCTTTTTTAAAAAAAACAAGAATTCTTACAAGTGCATTTCAGATCCCTATCTATATGGGAGGGAGAAATAAAGCAAGCTCCCTGAGTTACTCCATCTCTGGCCAAAGAATGGGGCCAGGTTGGTGTTTCCCTGCCTATAACATCTTTCTTGTTGGCTTGGGTGATTGGTCTGCTAGTGGGCCTTGGTCTCATGGTTGATAGTAGAAGTTGGCATGTGCTTCAGTGGTATAGGCCTAGACCAACTGTCAGTTGCAACATGTAGTACTTTCTGGTGGAGGGTTTATAGTTCGTTGTAACACTTCACAAAATAGGTGTTTAAATGAATAGTTAAAAGGATGCAGATTTGTCTCTTGTGCTTCTTTCTCCATTTCCCATAAATGAAAGGGACTGATGCACTTTTATCCCAGCCTTAGCTAGTGATCACTGGCAGCAATGACAGATATTAGTGTTCCAGACAATTGGTACATGGCATCACAAATCCTAAGAACTGTGATTTTTGCCCAGTTGACAGAAAAATAATGTGTGTTTGGTGTTCCTGTACTGTGACAAACATGTACCTGATTAGTACATAATGTGAGGAAGGACAAAGCCTGATCTGCACCAACATACTCTTTAATTTAGGGAACAAACTCCAAAATATTTTTCCAGTTACTACAATTTAAAACCTCATAAAGAATATATCTGCAGGTTCTGATGCATTTATTTTTCAGATAAAGCTGCTTCAGGAAGAGATGGCCAAGTCCAGCCACAATCAGCACTGAAAGTAAGCTTGCCTGTTTGGGACAACGAGGGCAAAAAGTAATATATATATTGAATGGTTAGAGGAGTGGGAGGCTTAGTTTGGATTTTATCCTTATGTTAGTGAGAGCAGCTTAATCTGGTCAGTTGATAGCCTTATCCATCTAGTTCATGCTTTGATTTTTAAACCTAATCATATCCCTTTAATATTAATGGGCAGGTTATGATAGTCAGAATCCTATTACCTCAACATAAATCTCAACTGTGAATTGCTGCCAGCTAAGCAGTTGATGTAGGCATTTACTCATGGCCCATCAGTCCCAAGGCCTGGCATGCAACAGCAAACATCTATGCTAACTTCTTAATTTGTGGCATATCACAGCTGAAATTTAAACTGATGGAGATACGCCAGCATAATTATTTCAATTAGATTCTAGCCAATAAAATATAAATCAGCACAACAGATTTGGTGTAATCCCTAGATCACATGAACATAAAGTGAAATAATACTGTGTATTTAGTCAGGCACATTGTAAGGAATTAAACTTGCTCTGGTGGAGAGGTGGGCAAAGTGCACTTTCCAAATATTGTTCCATCGGAATTCCCAACATGTCTCACCATTGACTATGCTGGCTACAATTGTTGTGAGTTACTGTCCCAGAATGTTTGGCTGGCTGCATTTTACCCACTCTTGCTCCAGTGGGCAGGGGACAACAGTGATACAGGCTATCCTCAGAAAATACTCAGGATACACAACTTTGTAAAAAGAGGTTACATCTTGTTAAAAGTGTCCCATAGAAGGAACTGTGTAAGAATAACTTTATTTGCTTGTTTGAATCAGTTATTGATGAATTAATGAATTGTTAATACTTGATGGTTGTACATGAGTTGATCGGTGTGCTGCTCAAACAGGAGACAGATTGTATTTGTCTTCAGTGTGGAAGGTATTGTCACTCTCAAATTGGCCTTCTCGACCACACTAGACGCTGTTCCAAGTTCTCTATTCAGTGCACGTTACAATAGTCTCTCTAGACTGAAGGATGCCTAATCTAATACATGAGTTCCAGTTAATTAGAGATGAACCAACATTGTGTTGTCTGGAAGTGCTTCTTGTCTTTTTGGATATTATTCTGAACTGATGTACCTGTACTTTTAACTAGTCTGTTTTATGATGGTGTGCCATGAATGCTTTTTGAGGATAACTAGTAGGTAGAGGCACATAGGGACTATTAGCAGAACATAATCTTAGCCGGAGGCAATGATCTGTGTGTCTTTAAAGTCATAGTGAACCATCATATTTCCTTGACATTCCATATCTGCTAAATGAAAAAATACTGTATAGGACAAGGTTTAATATGTGCCAAATTCAACATGCTTCTCCAGGATGAAAATGAAACACAGGTCAACTTCATTTACCCTTGTTTTGGCAGAGCATTTAGACTACCTGACTGAAAAATCTGAGCATCTTTTGTGGAGTAGGGGGAGGAGGCAGAAAATATTGTGCAAGTAGTTCAGAATCAAATACTCAACAAGGGGACATTTCCTTAGGACTCTTCCAGACAGAGCATTTGCTCTCCATGATAATAATTCTGTGCTGATCTTATCAGTATTAGTTCCACCATCTGCATGACATAAAGTTTGTCTCAATGGAAACAGTGCTGACTGTATGGGCCTATTTATCCTCTCTGGAGGTACTGTTTATTTTATATTTCCACTCATGGGAGGAGGCAGATTTTAGTGCTGCCCTGCTTTCCTGTAGAGGTTCATTTGCTGGTCATAGCCTCTTGGTTAGAAATTTTCAATTAATTAATCCCCCTAAAACTCCTTCAGGAAAGTAGAGTTATTTCATTTAAATTTCTCCCCATAATATTTATAATATTCCATAGGATTTCTGTGATATTACAGAAGTGGTTTCAAGAGATGTGGCTTTTAAAATGAAGAACTCAGTAGATGTCAAGATGCCTTCTAACTTTTTTATTCCCCTTGTGGTTAGAGAGTCTCTGAAAATTCCTTTTGATGTGTGCCCCCATATTTTATCCTGCAATTCTACATACACACTTACCTGAAAGTAAATCCCACTAGATTAAGTGGGCTTGCTTTTGGAAAGCATGCATTCTGACTAGTTAAGACTGACAGCATACATGCCACATGTCCCTTTGGTAATTCCTTCCTGGAGCAGTTTGTAGTTCCCTTGTCTCATGGCCTAAAGAATAGTAATTGGAGATCATCGTTTCAGTGCAGAAGAAAATACAGACTGTCTCAGCCAATCCTGAATAAGTCTAAATTGTGTATTAACTTTTCTTTTTTAAATGGTAGATCTTACAACAGCAGCTGGAGTCATTTCAAGCCCATCGGCAGAAAACTTTGGAGAATGTAATCATGGTAAGGGCAATCTTCAAGGCAACAGGTAGTTATACTTCATTTAAAATAAGAAGAAAACTGAAAGTAGACATATAGAAGACATTTACTGGAAAAGAATTCTCATAAATATCCACACAACTTGAGAAATCGCAAACATCGGTAATTTGGTATGTCCTGAAACTGAGAGTAACTCAGTAATTTTGTTTTTGCCAGATCTTACAGTGGAGCTTTTCTCCACTCATTTCTTTCATTGCAAATTATGTATTGTTTTTCTCTGTAATTGTATTTCTCTGTTTTATCACAGTATGCTTATTATGGGAACATATAATAATGAAACAGTACTTTGTGGTGAGCTGCCTCTCTAAATACTGACATCACTAGGATTTACTGAATAGACATGTCTAATATTGTGCTTTGAAGAACAGGCAGATCCCAAACAGAATGGCTTACAATAAGTGGCTGAAATCCTGTTGTTTAGTGTAGTAATTCATAATTAGAGTAGGCCAATCAGTGGAACTTACTGAGGAACTGACTCATTAAATTCATTGGATCTATTCTAATTGCAACTTTTAGTACACTAAGTGACAAGATTTCAGCCAATGTAATTTTTAAAAAGCACAATGAAAGGAATATGCTAACTATCTTCTTGCATGTTTCTTTAGGTTCAGTCTGAAATCAGTGGAATACTTAATAAAAAGATAAGTGATATAAACATTTCAAAATTTAATTCAAACAATTTATGTTTGAGCAGCACACCTATCAACACTTCTATGGTATGTTTTTTCTTATAGCCAGGTACAGTGGTGCCTCGACTTACAAACGCCATGATCTATGAACGTTTTGAGTTACGAACAGCTCCGGACACTAAATATTGCTTTGAGTTACGAACGGAGCTTTGACTTATGAACAAAAAAACCTTTCTTGCCCTTTTTTTGACCTAAGTTCATCCACCTAGTGGTAGAGTACAGATTAATTGGCTTTGCATTAGTTCCTGTGGAAACTAATGCTTTTACTTATGAGCCGTGCCTTGACATAAGGACAAAAAACAGCTGGAATGGATTAATTGGTTTTCAGTGCATTCCTATGGGAAATGGTGCTTTGACATATGGCCACTGTTCCAATACAGATTAAGTTCGTAAGTCAAGGTACTACTGTATGCTGTATCTGAAACCTGAAATACTTATTTAAACAGTGACTAAATACTGTGATCCCAGAACTGAAAGTAACCAAAAGACTGTATTTCCAAAACTCCAGGATAACTCACCTCACACTTTTGATGCAGAGATAAGTTCATAAGTAGAAAGCAGAGTGCTCATAAGCAAATGTACTTTCGTGTTTATAAAACAAATCATCCAAGAAGTGAACTGTTTCATGGCTTTTCGGATGATAATAGATTACAAACAACAAAGTTGAGGAGAATGTAGATATAATTGTCCATACAGCTGATTCCTTAATGTAGTGTTTTAAAACAGCAGTACTGGGGATTATCTCAGGACCAAAGTTGTGTTCTGAGAAATCTGTTTCTAGAAGATGTGGTTCACAAGTAGTAAAACAAAAAGTGTAATAGCCGTAATATATTAAGAAGAGGAATGTGTATTGTCTAGAATATAAATAATAGCTTCCTTTATGTGTTTAATTCTGGTGTCATATATAGCAAAACAGATCACAAGGTTAAGGATAAAACGTAAGAGAAAGAAAGATGTGTATCTGAACATGAGCTTTAGCCCTCAAACTGCCTGAAGCCTTTTCATATGCCTAGACATCAGATTCTCAGCTACCACATAACATGTCAGTAGTAAAGGATATACCGTGCTGGGTGTCTGTGAATTTCGTTGTATGTGTAAGGATAAAAGAGAAAGAAAGATGTGTATCTGAACATGAGCTTTAGCCCTCAAACTGCCTGAAGCCTTTTCATATGCCTAGACATCAGATTCTCAGCTACCACATAACATGTCAGTAGTGTAGTAA